ACGTGAAACGTCGAGCGACAAGGTGCTCGTTAGGCGCGTGAAAGGCTGGCATGGAGCAGAGCCGCATTCGGGCATCAGGGCAGTCGTCTCAGCATAATCCGAGCACCTGTTTATTCAAACCCCCCACATTCAAAGAATTTTTTTCGGCCGGAAGCCCGCCGAAAGACTACTTTCCATTAGGGTGGATTTCGTATGGGGATACCCCCCCCCCCCACATTTAAAGGAAAATTTTTTGGGGGGGTTCAAAAATCTGTCGGCAGGCTTCTAGTTTTGCGTGCGGAGATGCGAAGCTACAGCACCTCAGGGATCTGCAGCCTATTGTTTTTAATAGAGAATCAATACAGGGCCATGGTCCAACTATTGCGGAACCCTGCATTCCTTATTGTGGGGGGTGGGGGGGCCCCAATTAAACAGGAGCTCGGATTACACCCCCGGCCGCTTCAGCACGTCAAACAACGACACCACAGAAAGCCTGAAGAGCATGGGTTTTCAGGTTCCAACACACAGCACACCGCTGCCCCAGCGGACCACAGCAATCCGGCACTCGGCCTGACAGATGATGTGCAAGATGATGAGGGCTGTGAATTTCTTTCCGAAAGTCCTTGTGAGGTTTGGGGGGTTGTAAAGTCATAGAAGACGCTCCTCTGTCCGACTTCCAAGGCACCTTGCCATGGCTTGATGTCCGTGTAACTCATAGTGCTGAGGACACTGAGTTGGGATCATCTTTTGAGGAGGCCCAGAACGCTTTGCCCAAAACGAGATTGTCCCAGAAGTGTACAAGATTCTGACGACTTGACCAAGCGATGTTTGCCAAGGGTACTTGGGGTGATCAGGGTCCATGGATCTGTCAGGGCCCACATCCTGCAGCGTTCTCTGGTCACAGATACTTTTTCATAGCAAGCTTGCACACTGGAGGTGACCATCCCGATATCCCTTGAACGCTAAGGACGGCTGAAGTGGCTTCGGATGTGGGAAAGGAGTTTGTGGGCAAGGCATCACACAGAGGTTCAGCGATTGTCGCCGAACACGCTCCATACTGAGCCATACTGCCCTCAGCAGAACAGCAAAGCAGAGCGGTTGGTTCGATCGGTTTTTTTCAGCAGCGTCACTTTTGTTGCATGGCAGGTTGCCTATATGAGACTCTGGAACGAAGCCGTTCTTGAAGCATCGGTTTTTTCATTGTTTTTGCGTCACAATCCTCGCCGAGCATGGGCGACACGGTGATGGTACACAAGTCGGATAGCAGTGCGTGTTTGAACCTAGAGCAGTCCTCAGAAACCAGTCTTGGCAAACGATAAGAGCTCCAGGCGGTGAGAAAGCTCGAACATCGCCGCAAGCGACACCAAGTCTGCAAAGCTAAAAGCACGAAAGCAAACACTCTGAGATCCCGACGAATATGCAAGCGATGTCACCCTTCCCACGCAAAAAGGGAAATAGCGTAATGAGCCGACGCAAGGTTGGCGCAAGCGAAAAGGAGCCCGCAAGACTCAACTGGCACTTGACACGCAAGTCAAGGTCGCCAAAGCTGGGGAACCCACGCAAGCAAATTATGAAATTTGTCGGAGCTGAAGCAAAAATGGGCAAAATGAGCTTCCCGATTTTCTCTTCCAATTCGAAGCATCACTGGGCCCGAGACAAAGCCCCCTGACATGCCTTCTGTCGGCAAAACGAAACCTCAGTCGGAAGATCTGTAACTAAAGCAAAATTGCTAGACCAGATACCGCAAGCTGACTTGTATCGGCGGATGCTGACGGGGCCTGTACATGTACAATGCCCGTCTTGAAAGCAAAAAACTCGAACTCTTCAGCATCCCCCAAACTGGACCCCGGCGAAACCTCCCGAGTCCTATCAGCGTATATTTGGTAACAGCCCCAATCCTGACCGAAGATGGTCGAATTGCGACTGAAGGAAGGAAAAGAACACTCATACGGAGGTCGACTCCGAGTGTATGCACGGGGAAAGGGGAGACCAGGACTAACCTAACCAGAAACCCCAACCAAGCACAGAGGCAAGTCCTGACAGGAGGGAGGCTGCCCCACTTGCCATATGCTCAGCTGTTTCCATGCGCGTAAGGCACGCGACCGGAAGGAAACTTCACATGCATCGGTAATCAACCAGCGCCTGACGAACGCTAGCAAGATGGTCGAGCACTCGGAGATTATGGATTTTGGTACGTGCCGGCAGCGGCCATCCAATCCTTCGCTGCATGCTATCAGCAGGCAAGTTCGGACGGGAAGCGCGGAAATGCGCACAGCTCCACGCACAGTGGTCCCACGTAGGGGCATAGCACTCTCTGCAAAAGGGACACCACAGCTCGGCATGTCCAGTCAGCTGGGATTGGAGTCTGGCCGGGCTGACCACAGCAGCCGTAAGCACCGCACGGCCATGAGCGCAGGTAGCACTCCACAGCTGAGAAGCTTGCTTGAGACGAGCAGGTTGGAAAATCGGGTTACCCGCAGCCACGGCGTCGAGTCTGCCCGAAGTTCTCCAGGCATCAAACCGCCGAAAGCGCCATGCTTCTCTGAGTAGGTGCTTGAGACGGTCAAGTTGCAAGTTTTGAGTCCATCTGATGCATTGCCTCGGGACGGCCTGGTGGGTCCAAGAGCCATTGCGTTGCTGTTGCCAGCCCAGGAAGTTGCTATCAGCCTGGTCTGGGGTCTTAACCTTGTCAGGCGCCACTGGTCCTGAAGAAACAGGCTCATTCGAATGCATGGGCTTGGGGATTTGACATAGATGGGGAGGCCACTGCGTGATGAGCAATGGGAAGCTCGGCTGTGCTGCAAAGTCCCCCATTTCTTGCAATGAGGTTAAAGCAACCCCAGGTTCCGAAACTGGGCACTGACCTCCCCGATACTGAGGGCGACTAGGTCGCCACCCGGAAAGCAATGCTCTCCGAACTATTCTTTGACCTGCCAAAGGGAGCCAAACATCATCTCGGCCATACAAAGCAACAGAGTTCATTTTATGATGCCCTTGAGGAGCTCGAAGATCTTTGGAAAGCAAAAGCTGGTTCATGATGGACAGCATGGTAGCCTTCCAAGAGTGCAAAGTGATGTTAGAAGCATGTGTTGGCCCCAACCACTTCGAGGCAAATGCTCGCAGCCACTTCAAGCAATTGGCCGAATCTATAATCATAAAGTAGCCCCGTCAGCCGAGCACGTTCGAACAAGTGTAAGCGTAACGAACGTGCAACGCAGCCCCAATGTAGCACAAAAGTGGCCCCGTGGGCAGAGCGAGAAAGCGGCCCAGCGGGCAGAGCAAGCCTCCGCAAGCTGTAAAAGGGCAGAAGAGTGCTTCCCGGAATAAACCGTGTAGCCAAATTAGTTGTCTAGAGTGACAGCGAAAATGATGCTTCCGAGCCAGAGCGAGCCCAACAAGGGACAAAAGCAAAGCAGTTCAACAATGTGCCAGCATGTACGAGGCCCGGAGGAGCATGCAAGCAACCCAGGGGGAGGAGCGAGCCCAAACGGGCAAACACAACACAACCGAAGCGTGGACTAAACAGAAGCAGGGGATGCTTCGTGCATGTAGGAGGCCCAGAGGGCAGAGCAAGCTAGCAGCCCAGAGGGCAGAGCAAGCCCAACAAAGGGTAAAGAACGCGGCCCAACGCGTGGACAATACAAGCAGCGAATGCTTCGTGCAAGCACGGGGCCCAGAGGGCAAAGCGAGCAAGCGACCCAAAGGACCGAGCATTTTCATGACAGAAACAACGCAATGTTGTAGAAAGCGCGGGTAGCAGACGACAGCACATAAAGCACGCATGCATGATGCCCAGAGGGCAAAGCGAGCAAGCGGCCCAGAGGGCAGAGCAAACGTAGAGGGTGGAAAGCAGCAATGCTCTGGGCCCAAGGGGGCAGAGCAGCAAGCAGCCCAGGGGGCAGAGCACCCCAACCAAAGGAGCAATGGTAAAGTTGTCCAAAGCGTGGACAGTGACAAGCAACACGACTTTTGTCCATGCATACGCCCAGAGGGGCACAGCGAGCAAGCGGCCCAGAGGGCAGCCAGCCCATAAAAGGCAGAGCGAAATCGTCCGATGCGTGGACAGTCAAAAGCAACGATGAATCTATGCACACCGAAAGCCCAGATGGCCAAGCACGCATGCGGCCCATCAGGCAGAGCCACTTAGTACGAGCAAACGACGCCCGACCCAGACCAAAAACAAAACTACCAGCCCAATGAAGCAAAATCAGTCGGCATGTTCATAACATCCATAAGGCTGACAGATGAAAACGAAGCTACCAAACCGAATCATCACATGAGGCTGTGGGAGAAGCAGAACAAGCCTGACTCTCAGCTCTAGCAAAACATACCATGCCATAAATTTCGCCAGAACAAAATGGTAGCGGTAAGCTGAAGCAAGCCAACAAGCATGAGGACCAATCCCTCAACAAGAAGACCGAAAACCGAATCGCTTTCGGCCAAAGCATCAGGTCGCAACAGGACCGTGAGAAGACAAGGACACCAAGTCTGCAAAGCTAAAAGCACGAAGGCAACGGAAGCGATGGGACATGCCCAAAATTTTAAGCGAAGCAAAGCACACTGAGCTCCTGACGAAGAGGAGCAAGAGCTTCCCCCAAATGGAAGCAGCGAAAGCTAGCCAAGCAAGGCTGTAAGCAAAATGAGCCCGCAAGACTCAAGCTGGCGAAAAGACTCGCAAGTCAATTGCCAAAGCAGCTAAGCAAAGCTGTTAAGCGACCAAATGGTCGCTGCATTTTCAAGCTCAAAGCAGTTGCATAATTGTGCTCGAGACAAAGCCCCGACAAGCTTTACGTCGACAAAAGGACACATCGGGGGGAAGCTCGGAAATCAAAGCAAAATTAGTGGACCAAATGCCACAAGCCGATTTATATCGGCCAGCAAAAGAAGCTGACTTCGCCTGAACAGGCACAATGCTGTCTTTGAGAGCAAAAATTCAAACTCATCTGCCTCACCTAAGCTCGAATCCGGCGAGGGCTCCCGACAGGTAGAAGAAGGCTTCGGAGTCCCAGACTCAGCAGGCATCACATCACCTGAAGAAGCAGGTTGACATGGGGGTAAATCATGGGGCCCCAGCATCGGCGAAGCTGTAACTGACTGGGAAGCAACTGGAAGATCAGCTTGAGCTGTGAAATCCCCCATGTCCTGTAAAGAAGCGAGCTCGACCCCCGGCTCGGAAGCTCGGCATTGCCCACCACGATGTTGAAGACGACTAAGTCGCCAACCTGAAAGCAAGGCTCGTCTAACCACTCTCTGACCTGCAAGGGGGAGCCATACATCAGCACGACCATATAAAGCAACGAGTCCATTTTGTGATGGCCCTGAAGGGCTCTCAAGTCCTTGGAAAGCAAAAGCTGGTTCATGATGGACAGCATAGTTGCCTTGCACGAGTGCAAAGTAATGTCGGTAGCATGAGTCGGCCCACTTAGAGACAAACGCGCGCAAACAGTTAAATACCCAAGCATAGCTGCATGGTTGAAAAGGCATGCCAGCACCTGAAGTGTCGCTGTGGAGAAACAAAGCATCGGGAATGAAGAAATCACCATGGCCTGACTCAGAAGCAATGCGAGAACGAACTCCTTTCCAAAGGCAGCATGAGCTTGCATGTCCAAGACCGTGAAAGAGAAATCACTGGGGTCAAGAGCCCCACAGAAAGCACCCCAAAGGCTGAGCAGCAGAGTCCTCGTAAAGCAACATCATCGCTCACGAATGAAGACCATTCTACATGCTGTGCATCTGCAAAACGAAGACTGCCCCATATGCAAATCAAGCAAGTTCCAGCCATGCAACGATCCCCAACTGGAGCAAAATCTGAAAGCACAAGCCTCTCCAACTCAACCACAATGAGTAGCGGCAAAGGCCCTCTTTGCGAGGGGCATCCCCTAAGTTGGTCGACCTCAAAAAGAGGCCTCCATATAAATCAGGAAATGGAACCAATGAAGCACGAATATACCATCGCAATGCTTTCACCATGTTGAGGGGCATAGCCAAAGCATCGCCCGACTCTTCTTGCACACACAAAATGACATCCATGACCACATGCTGTTGCAAAGCATCCAATGAGTGGCCACAAGCATCAAAAATCTGATCGAAGATCGAAGGTATCGCAATAAAGTGGTGTCACGGTTCCGGGTGAGCATAGCTGACAAAAGTCGATCAGCATATTTGCTCTCCAGAGCACCCGAGAAAACAGGGCTAAAAGAAGCATGTCGTTGCACAAGATCCTTCCAGCACCATTTTCCAGTTTTCTCAGTAGGAAACTGCTGGCCTTTCAATGCCGGGGGCCTGGGAGGGGCACAAAAACCCTGCTACTCCGTGTGCTTGAGGGCAAAGCATTGTCCATCAAAGCAGAGCCAGGAGGCCCAGCCCCCGAAAAAGCATTGGTAATTTCCCGATTGCCAGTAGCTGTCTGCAAGCGATGTGATGGTCCTGTAAGCTCAGAGGCTGCCCCTCTGTAAGCCGGGACCGGAAGAGGGCTCCCACGAGGAGCCAAAATTGTGCTTTGGGGTGCCGCCAAGGGTTTATCTACAGGTTGTCTTGACCTGCAAACCCACCGACCCGACAAGGTGACAGCTCTCTGCCATGCGCTGGAAGCTCCGGGCGAATCACTTGATTAGCTGCCTGTAAAGGAGAGCAAAAAGCATGCATGTCAAAAGCAAGACTGCGACTGCAAGCATCCCGGCTCGAGACAGCAATGTCCTGCATCAGCCACCACACGCGAGCCACATGCTGCGAGGGCACAAACCTTTGCTGCGTTCTCGCTCTTCTAGCAGACAAAGGCCCACACACTATGCGCATAGCACTCCCTCAGCGTTCTCGCGCACACTAACGGGACGTCACAAACAGTCAAGCACCCACCTCAGGTCCAAAATTCACGCTGGTCCAAAGCACCAATTGCAAAGTGCTATGCGACCCACTGCTCTTGCGCCGGAGCTATCCAACAGAGGGTCGCTAGAACTTTGAAATGCAGAATAACGCTTGTTGTCATTAATGAAAATGAAAAAACTCATGTTGCGGTAAAAACATGCTCGTGTCTTCACATGCACACAAACCAGAGGAAACCAACACTGTCGAACGACAACCAAAAACGCTCAACCAAAGAGCGGTGACGGACGTCACACCTTTGGCGAGCGCCCAGCCAGCACCAGCAAAACTGATTTTTTGCGTTTTTTGCTTCTCTGAAAAACTGCAGAATTTCAGCAGAAACTTTTTTAAAGCGGATGCCTCTTTGCCACATCAGCAGCACACATAGCATTTCATTCGTGAAGTTCTTTGTCATCATTATGGACGGTCGCCTCGGCAGCCTGCTAGAGCATGCCCTTTCCCAGCACATCTTCACTTACATGTCCATGTGGAACACTAAAGCAAAAAGTGTGTGTGTGTGTGAACACAGAGGGTTTGCATCACATATCCGCAGGGGGCAGGAGCACCTTGGTCGTTCTTCTGCCAAGTTGCTGGAGTTGCTGAAATATCATACTTTCAATCTACCATCTTCTGCCACATCAATGCATGCACACATGAGAACATGCTCACGACTGACATATGAACACATGCTCCGCTGAACTCCACGTTCGAAACTCATGCTTGAATCTGACATGTGACCAAATGCTCCACTGCTCTGCACATTCTGAACTCATGCTCGAAACTCGCGCTCGAATCTGACATGTGAACACATGTTCCACTGCTCTGCACACTCCGAACTCATGCTCAAATCTGACATGTGGACGAGAAGGCACCACTGCTCAAGCACTCATGTCTGGCAAATCTCTGTCACATGTTCACATGCTAAGTTTGCTCCATCATTCATGTTTGCTCATCTCCACCGCATGTCTGGAACTGATCAATACGCTCCGAACCTATGTTCATGCTCATTCACTTGACATGCTCAAACAGCTCTGCTCAGCTGCTGCATTGTCCCTGCTCTGCAAACTACACTTCAAGACGTTCAAGCTTGATGGGCTCGAGGTCTGAATTCACCCATGTTCAATGCTCAAATACTGATGCCAGAAACCTGAAAATCACGTTCTTGAGGAAGTGGTTGAAGCACAGCGATGATCACTGAGGAAATTCAGGCCACAAGTACGACCATGTGGATGGAGAATTGCTGGATGGACGGAAAGTTGTTTTGCACATGCAGACCGTGTGCTTATCCTCTTCGGGTAGCATTTGAGCCTCTTGTGGGCGCCAAAGGTTCGATGCCGATTGTCTTGCACGGTATGTAAGTCACTTTGGAGGTGTTTCAAATGAGTCACTTTGCAAGTGTTTCAAATAAGTCATTCCAAGTCACTTTCCAAGTGTTTTAAATAAGTCACTTTCCAAGTGTTTTAATGAATCACTTTCCAAGTGTTTCAAATAAGTCACTTGTGTGGGTGTGGGTGTGGGTGTGGATGTGGGTGTGGGTGTGGGTGTGTGTGTGTGTGTGGCTGTGGGATGTGGTGAATGCAAAAAGGCAGAGGCTCAGGTGACTTCCACGGCAAAGCCTTGGAATATTTAGCAAAAGACAAAGCTAGACCACATTTCCTTTGGTTCTGTTTTTGAAAATTCGGCTTGGAATCGATTTTTGGGTCTGAACTTTCAATAAAAATCAGCTGAGTTCTTAAAGCATCCGATCTAAGTGAAAAAAACAATCCTTTTTAAAAGGCAAAGAGGTGTCTGGCAGTTCTTGACCCCGACACTGCAACAAGTCAAAAGTTTTGCTGCTTTGAACCTCAAAACTGTGTTTGATTGAAGCTACTTGAAAGGACCTTCACAGTGCAGAAATTGCTGGACGCTGCAAAGAAAGCAATTTTTTATGAGCTGATCAAGGCATGCATATATATATATATATGTATTCTATATTTATTTATTCATTTATTTATTTCTTCATTATTAATGTATTTATGTGTGTATACATATACATATATACATATATATTCTAATATATACATATATGTACATATGTGTACATGTTATGTGTACATGTACATATATATATATAAGATATATACATTGTTTATTAATGGTCTTTTCGCGAGCCTCTTGACATTAGGGTTTAGGGCTTAGGGTTAAGGTTGTGGGGGGTGGGACCTGCGAAGCGCGCCAGGCAATCACACATGTTGCCTTCAGTAGGCATGTGGACACACACACATATGTATATATATACATATATATAGAGAGACATGATTATTATGTCTGCAGACACATTGAAAAAAGATACACATAAATTAGTAAGTAAATAAATAAATAATTAAATATATATATATATATATGTGTATATACATGTACATATATTCAGAAGCAACAAATGTACAAAACACACGGTTTATACGTATGTACTGTGGAGGTCACTTCGGCTTCCCTACCTTTTGGAGTTGATTTCTTGCCCTCTTTTTGTGTCTCCAAATCCACCCACCTCGTTGCAAGTAAAAAAATAAGCCTCTCAGTGGGTTGCAGTCCAAGTCTTGTGTCTTCCCTCAAAATTTGAACAGCAGGCAAGTGACCTCCACAGTTTTCATAGATGCAAAGGTTCACATAAAAGTTTCTGTTTAAGCATAATTTATGCACATTTATAAAACCCATGAAAAAAACAATATGTATTTAGAAAATCGCACACTTTAGAATGTATATATATATATATATATACATCTATACAATTCGAAAAATAAAACAGGAGGTCGCAGACCTTCTGTCCATCTAATGCATGTGTTTGACTACAAATATAATGCACCATTTCACTTTATGATTGAACTTTTATGAGATTTTGTAGGGGCGGGGACAAAGGCGAAAAATTTTGAACACGTTAAAATTTTAAACGGTTAAAATTTTCAACAAATGGTGCTTAAGAGGAGGGAGATTTTTAACAGTTAAAAATTTTAACGCGTTCAGAATTTTCTTTTCTCTTGTTCAAACAAATCAATGATGAACATGAAGGCAAAGCCCTAAGGCTTAACCCAAAACCTCACCCCTGCAGCTCTAAGTAAAGATGTAAACCCCTGCCCCTAAACCCTCAACCCTCAACCCTAAATAAACCCATAAACCCCGAAACCTGAATAGGTATGCAGTTTTGACTTAACGTGCTACAAAACTAAATGCATATGTGTATGTGTCTCTGCTATGTCTATGTGTATATAGCACAATGCATTATACATATTATAAAATCTACACTGTACATCTGTTTAAGTTTTGGGGTCGATGGGTTTAGGGGTTAGGGTGCAAGGTTTAGGGTTTAGGGTCTAGGGTTCAGGGTTTAGGGCTTACTTGGATTTAAATGTTTGTCTATTATATCTATATATATATATGTATACATATGTATATCGACATACATTCTATGCAGTTACTTGTTGTATAGTTTTAAATACTGCACCCCTGTTTTTAAGTTTAGGGTTTATGGGTTTAGGTTTAGCAGGGAGGTTTGGGGTTTAGGGTTTTCTACTTGTTCGTGTATAGGTTTTCCCAATGTTTTTGTTGCTATTTTAGCGTTTTTATCGTTTTGAAGCATCCTAAACCCACAAAAATCACTACACCCTATTTGTCAAACTTGATTTTGGCGTTTTTTTTTTTGGTTTTCTGCTTGTTTGTGTATGGTTTTTTAGGGTTTAGGGTGGAAGGTTTAGGTTTCAGGGTGGAG